CCTGGATCAAATGAGGATCCGCAGGCCCCGGGTCGTCTCACTCACTCGCCGGGCCTGTGCTCTGGGTCTGTTCAGGATCCTGCAGCCCTCGGTCATCTCACTCACGCCAGGCCTGCACTCTGGGTCTGTTCAACCCTTGAGATTTCTGAGCAGAGCAGTACCACAAGCAGAGCTTCTCTTTAGGAAGATAAACCTGGCTGCCAGGAAAGGGGGAGAAGATGGAAGAAACAAACAGCTCAGAAATAGTCAGAGTGGCACTTGCCTGAATTTCCAGCAATCTGGGAGGCTGAGGCAGGAGGATCACCAGTTAGAACCCAGCTTGGACAACTTAGCAACTCAGATCCTGTCTCCAATTTAAAAAAAAAAAATTTTAAGGACCAGAACTGTAACTCAATTTGAAAGCAATGGGCTGAACCCGCAGTACCACCAGAACAGAACAGCTCAGCCTCTTCCTGCCCCAGAGCTATGAGATCACTCAGCCTTCTCCCTGCCTGCCCCGAGGCTCTGTCCTAAAGCCTGAGCACTGGAATTGTGCTTGCAGTCCTTCACAGTCCATCACACCTCTGTGTGCCCAGCCGCTAAGTGCAGGGCCATGTTAATGGTGAGTGCCCTGCAATGCCAGCCGATCAGACAGCCACCTCAGAGGAAATCATCTCTTTCCCACTGCCCTGCCCGTATTCTGGAAAGAGGTCAACTCTCCCCCAGAGGCTGCTGATACAGGCAGCAAAGGAGCCAGGGTAGGCTTCTTGGCCCTGGCTGTCCGATCTCAGGACTGGGATTTGGAAGACACACAGCCTAGCAGCCAACCAGACAGCAAAGGTACAAGAAGCCCAGAACCCAAGTTGATGGACTTGGTGCATTGGGCGCCTGTCAGGAGATCATGCACCTCTCAGAAGCCCACAGTTCATCCACACCAGCCTTGGTGATGGCTGTCTTAGCTACTTCTCTGTCATCACTGAGACAAAACACCCAGCACCCAAAATTAAAGGAGGAAATGCTTATGTAGCTCATGGGTTATAGAGGTTCCAGTCCGTAGGTGGCTGGCTCCGAGGCAGAGCAGGAC